ATCAAGTAACTACAAATAAACCTCAACCATTCATTCACAAGCCATGACTGAATCAACATAAACAATAAAACCATCACTAAATCAACAAACCAAAACCAAACTCATCCAAAGTCACCCAACATGATTAATTCAAACTCAATTTATACATATTAATCACCATAGCCATGAATACTCATCAATTAAATTTAACCAACATTTAGTCACATATCCAAATTAATAATTTCTAAGTTTTATAAGTACCACATTACCCATGCTAAATTTATAACTAAGCACATATCCATCATTGTTACAATGGTCATTCACTAATTAGTTACTTACCCAATCATATCATAATATAAAGTTCTCATTTAATAACTAACCAAATCCTAGAATTTTTATGTTTATATGAGCACTATATTTAATACATTCAATCAAGAATGAAAAACATATATTAGTCAATTATTCATTAATTTCACAATCCAAGCTCCAATTTTATGCAATTTATTCAATGGCATAATTTGAAACCCTAGGTTTCACAAGAACATAATTCACTAATTGAACACATAATTATCCTAAGTCTTGTGGTAAGTTGAAGTTATATTTACTTTAAATTTGATTGAAGATGAAATCACTTTAAAAACAATTAAATCTGCACTTCTCTCCCTTGCCCAAGCTTTCGGATCCGGATAGATTTGGCTCTCGACCAACTCTCTTTCTTTTAGCCAAACTCTCTTTTTTTTTTTGCCAAGTTATCTTTTCTTTGACAATTTCAGCTCTTTTCCTTGGTAAATTTCAATTCTTTCTTACTTTCTCTATTGTGATTTGGTCTCTTTTACTTCTTTCTCTTAGTGTTCAACCTTTTTCAAAATAGATGGATGGAGACAAATAAAGCCGAGCAAAACTTTTTCACTTTTATTTCTCTTTCTTGGCTAAAACTTTTGTTCAAAATGCCCTTAATGAGCTACATGTTCTAAGGTAGTTATTTTACCCTTTATACATTTTAATATAGATGGAACATCTAATTAGAATATTATTTTCTAGATTAATACATGTTTAGGTTACTAATTAAATTTTAAATTTTAAGTTATACATGTATATGAATCATTAACTTAATTTATATTTACTACTAAGTCTTTCACATGTCAAATAATTCACTATTCATACATAACACTCAATAGACATAAATTTTACAAACAAAACACTTATCATCAATAACACAAGTATGGTATGAACATACTTAATAAAATAATTATTCATACACAATATAAAAGTCTAGGTATTACATCTTTCCCTCCTTATAAAAATTATGTACTCGGAATTGAACTTACTTAAACAACTTCGAATACTTCTATCTCATTTGGACCTCTCTCTCTCATGTAGCCTCCTCCATGTTGTGATTCCTCCATAAGATTTTAACCAAAGAAATCTACTTGTTCTTTAGTTGTTTAACCTCTCGATCCAACACCTAGATTAGCCTCTTTTCATAGCTCAAATATGATTTTAACTCTAACGGCTCAACCTTCGAAACGTGGCTCGAGTCCTCAACATACTTCATCGACATGGACATTTGGAAAACATTATGCACTACAGCAGGAGATGGAGTCAAAGCTAATTTATATGCTCTATCCCTTACTCTCTATAGTATCCGAGATGGTCAAATATATTTCGAACTCAATTTCCTCTTTTTCTTGAATCTCATCACTCCCTTCATCGATTGCCACTTTCAAGCACACATTGTCGCTAATCTTAGATTCTAAGTTTTTCCATTTTTTATCCTCATAAATCTTCTACCTTTTTTGAGTTGCCTTCATTCTCATTCTAACCAACTCCGAACTTTGACGAGTTTATTGAACCATCTCGGGTCCTAACAATTTCCTCTCACCAATGTCATCTCAATATATTGGTGACTTGTATTTTTTTCTATATAGTCTCATAACGTGGCATTCCAACCGTTTCCTCTCACCAATTCAATTTTCTTACCATCGGCCACTACCTTTTAAATTTAACCAATTCAACATCTTGCAAATGCCCTCCTTAATTCTTTACCTTAAATCTAGTTCTAAAACCTTTGTACATAACAAACTATTACTCGTCCCCTTTCGACTTAACCTCTAATTATAACCTCTCTATGTCCTTGACAATTTCGACTTGCTCGACCATCCCCGTCTTTCGACTTAAAGCATCTACCACGATATTTGCTTTGCTTGGGTTATAATGAAAAGTAATGTCATGATCTTTCAAGCACCTCAAGCTATCTTCTTTGTCTCATGTTCTTTTTTTTTTTTTTTTTGTGAAGATGTACTTGAGACTTTTATAGTCAATCTAGATCTCACATCTAATCCTATAGAAGTTATGCTTCCATATCTTCAATGCAAAGATCACGATTGCCAGCTCTAAATCATGTAAAAGATAATTTTTTTTGTATTCTAAATCATGTGCAAGATAGTTTTTTTGTAGTCTTTTGACTGTCATGAGGTATAAGCAATCACCTTATAATGCTGTATTTGATATATAAAAGCATTGCTTTAATAGGAATTATACTCGGAAGAATTGGTTGGTTTTATGACATGGGTAACCATTGATTTAAGCAAATTAACGACTAGCATAAATTGTTTTTTGAGTTCAGAATTTTAAAATGAATTAGTTTAATTAATTCTTATATTTTAGACCTAGTCTCCAATAAAATCATTTTTCAAACTATCCAACCTAGCTAATTTTGGCCTTTAGACAATATATATTTTTATTGTTTTTCTAATTTCCCAGTGGTTTTTATCATTACCTCAGGGTTTGTAATTCTTGTTGATTTGTACCATGATTGTTGGAATGTACCTTTTCTCATTTTAGGCTAGTTTCTTTTTTCTACCAAAGGAAAAAAAAAAAAAAAAACACAGATTGTTAAAAAAGTCATTCATATTAACTTCTCCAGATAATAAACTTCAATTAGTTTTTGAAAGGAAATAAATTACACTTACTAGCTTTCGCCATTAATTATATAGTTGAAAAATAAATAACGCTGCCTAACATGTTGGGATAAAATCACCAGTTATTCAGTTACTTTCCCATTATGGGATCACCTATCTTATCAATATATACCTGGATCATTTAATGAAAAAAGCATACGTCCACTTCCATTAAAAAAACAAATTTAAGAAAACCTTATGCGTACCGTCTAATGGTTAAGTAAATGTTTTTTTTTTTTTTTTTTTTTTTTAAATTTAAATTTTGAGATCAACCTTTAAAAATATTTATTAAAATTTTCTAAATTCATGAAAGTTGCTTTAAAATATCATATGGAGAGGAATTTAGTATTGATTGATTCACGAACAAGCTGTCTTGAAAATACTTTTATTAGTGACTCTTAAAAAAAAAGGTGATAACTAATAAACTTCATGTTTATACCTACAGATTCACCAATATTTCACCAATACTTCTATAGTTTAAATTTTTTCAATGTTATTCTTATGTTTTTTTCCTGAAAATTTCAATGTTACTCTGACGATTTAATTAAATGTATAGGATTTTTTTTTCTTTTTCTTTTTTTTTTTTCTCGTTATGTCCTCTCAAATGAATTATGCTATCCATAAGGAATAATACAACACCAATTTGTACATAAATTTTATAAAAATACTTAAGAACCTAAAACAGCTTGCAGAACAAAAAAAGTTAGTCCATCATTAGATTTGATTGGTTATTTAATGATTAGGGTGAATTTGAAATTTTTTGAAACTATAATGGCAACACTAAGCACTTCCAAACTAAAAGGTTTTGAAGTGAATAATGATAAATCAGGGTAACAAATAACAACATAATTTATGGAAAAATTATTAAATATATCAAGAATGGTACTGCATTTTTTAAATAAAATTATAGAACCAATTATAAAAATTATTTATGAATTCCACCATCATTAAAAAAAAAATAGAATGCAATATCTCAATTCCTCGGGTTATGTATCCCATATCATATGATTCATGATTATCTCACATATGTAGTGTTTTGTTTATCACACCTACATAGACCATAGACAATAGCATGCGATAAGAACAATTATTTATTTTGAATAGTGTAATTGGTAGCTCAAGTATAGAGTTACGATGGATCATAAAATATATGTAAAAAAAATTCAATATTTTATTAACAGATTTACATGAAATGTAACAGTTTATGAAAACAAAAAAACCGTAGAATTCAAGGTAAAAAATATTTCTTTTCTAGATGATATGATTAAAAATATTTATCATATTGTTGATTGCAAGTTATACAATTTTAAATTTTTAATTGAAATAATATTTAATTTTATATTTGAATCTATTTATATTTAATGAATGTTATCATAATTTATTTTATGTATTTATCATATATTTATGATTTATAGTAAAATAAACTCCTTGTTGTATTTTTTTTAATGAATAAAAAATCTCATTAGGAAAAAAAAAAAAAAAACAATCGCTTATTTTTGGCATAGTTCACTTATGCTCCTTTAACGGTCCCATAAGCGGAGTGGAAAAGCAAATAGCCCCGCCGTTTGGGTTAGTGATTCATTCCTTAAATTCCTTAAAAATCGGTCTCTCTATCTCTCGATCTTTCACTTTCCCCTTTTTTTGTTTTTAATTGAAGGAAATAGTCTCTTTCATTATTTAATTAATCAATTAATCTCAACTATTTCCTTCTTTCTCCATTTTACTTTATTTTACTTGTTTTATAGACCCAAAATCACAAAGCTTCACGTTCCACACAGACGCAGACACACACCCTCTCTCTCTGTGAGTCATCCACATTTCAAAAATTGAAAAAAAAAAAAAAAGAAATCCATAAAAAGTAGTCTGATCTCTGAAGAAACCTCGATTTTTAGGGTTTCTATTCTACGTAATTCGCATTATTATTTATTAGACAGTTATACCCTGCCTCCCTTGCTCTCATTTTTCAGTCCCTGATGATCAGCAGTAAACCAGTTGCGGTGGCGGTGACAAATTGAGTAAAGTAAAGGATGAAAACGAGGGCAGAATCGGAAATAGAAGTAAATGGGAGTGGCCAACAAGGCTTGGAGGCTTAGCTTGATATCGGAACAACCGAACCTGGCGCTTTCAAACCAACCAAACGGTAAGCATTATCAATATCATCCAAATAATTACAATGACTGGCGGTGGTGGAGATCCTCTGCCACGCAGCAGCAGCAGCAGCAGCGGAGGAAGGTACCGTGGTCGCTAGTTTGCGGTTTCATGCTTTTTGGTTTGGGATTGATTTCTCTCTTCACTGGACACGTGGCTTCTGATCTTGAGTGGTACTCTCAACGATTAGTCAAGCGCAGCCTCTTCTACTCTAGGCTGGTACTTAATTGATTCATTACAAGTTTTTCAATTTTTTTTTAAGTTTTATCTTGCGATGTTGCTTGAATAAATGTAGAATTTTTTATTTAAAAAAAAAAATTGAATGGTTTTAGAGATTGGGTTTGATTTAATGTGGCAATGGTTTTCCAGGAGGGGAGGCGACGCGAAGCCATTGATATTTGGAAATCAAAGTACTCGAATTACTTCTATGGATGCAGCGAAAGAGGGCGTAATTTTCCTCGTACGTTCAAAATTTCTTTTTAAGTTGCTTTTACTAGAATCTTAGCGAGCTCAGTTTCTCTCTATCAACATTGAATCAGTGGCTGTTAGAGTAGATTTTATTAGCTTCGTTATTTCTTTTCAAGTTTGAACAGGATACTGAGATATTCCGCTTCAGTTTAAACTTTATAACAATGCTAATTTTGTTCGTAGCTGCCATACGCGAGCGGGCTTCAAATGGCTATTTGCTTATTGCTGCAAGTGGAGGGTTGAACCAACAGAGAACTGGAGTAAGTGAAGGTCATCTTATTCTGTTATGGTTTGGCAAAACACTCTGGTCAAAACTTTTGATTGAGAGTGTTTTATCAAATAAGGTTATATATTTGTCACTGTACTTGTTTTACCAGAAGATTAATGTGTTGAGTTTTTGAAAATGACAATTGCTTAGATAACAGATGCTGTGGTTGTTGCACGGATTCTTAATGCTACATTGGTTGTGCCCGAGTTAGATCATCACTCCTATTGGAAGGATGATAGGTAAGTTGGGATGTGTTATTCTATTTACATTGGTATTTAATCTGGAATATCATTTCTTTCTTTCTCATAGTTGCTTTCGTTATATTCAATTTTACTCCTATTTTCTAATTAAAAATATTTCCTTTTGCATGCAGTGACTTTGTCAACATTTTTGACGTTCATTGGTTCATTTCTTACCTTGCAAAAGATGTCACCATTGTGAAAAGAGTTCCTGATAAAGTCATGCGGTCAATGGAAAAACCCCCATATACCATGCGTGTCCCAAGAAAATCCCCCCTGAATATTATCTGGATCAAGTTCTGCCAATACTATTGAGGAGACGTGTAAGGCCCTCTGCTCAGTTTGTAATTATTCTTTTAAATCTGGTAGTTTCCTGTTAGTTATCATTTTCCATACATACCCTCATGTTCCTCTTTAATTTTCTGGAAAGCCAGGTCACTTTCTCCATGGTGTGTGAAGTATTTTAATGATGGATAAAGATAAAAACAAATGATTTTTTACAAATTTACACAAATAGACCGATGAAATAAATGACAAAAAAGTTGCGTAATTCTATGGCTCATGCCATTGTGTCTATTCATGCAAAGTTCTTTAACTTTTGAACTTTTTTGTAGCATTATCCTTTATTCATATGATTCTAGTTTGCTGTAAGTGAGGCAATAGGATATGAAATCTTGCAGGTCGTGCAGCTGACAAAGTTTGACTATAGGCTTGCAAGTAACCTTGACGAAGAGCTGCAAAAATTGCGCTGCCGGGTTAATTATCATGCTTTAAGATTTACAAAACCCATACAAGAAATTGGTGAGAAACTTGTGACAAAAATGCGTATGATGGCGACACGTTATATTGCAGTTCACTTGAGGTTTGTTTCCTTTACTTCAAAATTTAATTGACATGTCAAATCTGAAGAAAAATAGATTGTTCATCTATTTTAATGTCACTAACATGGTTGCATAATTTGTACTTCTCTTCCCCAATTAATGGCCAATACAAAAGCTATGAGGTGCATGTGCTGAAATGTATGATTTTGGGATGCTATCTTGGCTAGAGTCTCCTCTAGATTCTAGACCTTTCACTGATTTTCACGTTCAACTATATGTTACATGACACTCCCTCCTCCGCCTCCTCACAAACACACAGACACACACACACTGATAAATGCTCAAGAAAATAATCGGAACGGAAATGCTTGGATTTTATTGCGTGTTTCATTGTGGGCTGTGTAGAGATACTTACCAGTTTGTCTTGCAACTAATGAATGCTAAAGAAAATTTGACTGTTCTTGTGTATAGAAGAACTGCTTTCTATAACTTAGTCTCCTTTTAATTGGTATCAAGGAATTCAGGTGCATTGCTATCATATCCAGACATTTGTGTTTTATGAGCAAGACATGTCTTTACATGTTGACACTTAAATAGATACATGCATATGGATAGGTGGTGAATTTTGCATGCATATTTGGATTTCTGTGTTCATGGCTCAATGTTTAAAATTGCAGGTTTGAACCTGATATGCTTGCATTTTCTGGGTGTTACTTTGGTGGGGGTGAAAAGGAAAGATCTGAGCTCGGCGAAATAAGAAAAAGATGGGCAACATTACCAGTAAGAAAAGAATGCTATTCCTTTATAATCTCCAATTTTATATTTATATAAAGGTTCTCAACCAATTGGGTCATGTCATTCACTACACTTCTCTTGTAATTACCTGGAAAAATGAGGACCGTTCTTTATTAAGATGGATCCTGATGATTCTTTATTCATTTAATTTATGCCAAATTTGTACTTGCAATATTTTAGGATTTAAGCCCTGACGGAGAGCGAGAGAGAGGAAAATGTCCACTCGCTCCTCATGAAGTAGGATTAATGCTGCGTGCCCTTGGTTTTTCTAACAACACATACCTCTATGTTGCATCTGGAGAAATATATGGTGGAGAAGAGACTTTGAGACCCCTTAGAGAACTCTTCCCAAACTTCTATACAAAGGAGATGCTTGCAGTTGAAGAGCTGAAACCTTTTCTTCCATTTTCTTCCCGCCTGGCAGCCATTGACTACATCGTCTGCGATGAGAGTGATGTCTTTGTCACAAATAATAATGGAAACATGGCCAAGATTCTTGCTGGTCGAAGGTAAGCAAATACTAGTTATATATATATATATTATTATGCTTGAGCTTAAAATTACTTTTGGTCCTCAATTTGATATGATGATGAGGAATTAGTGATTTAAATTGTCAAAAAAGTTAATTTTGAGAATAAACTAGTGCCTATATTTTCTACAGTGTCTGCAATGAGTGTGATGTCTTTAGCGAACTTGATTTTTTGGATCTTACTATAAGGTATTCTCGAGTATTACAAGGAAATAACAGCAATGAGAGCTAACTAAACAAATATGCTTGGTTCTGTTGTGATAATATTGAAATAGTTCAACTGCATTAGTATGCACTGGGTTCAAATTAGATAATTCATCAAGATTAAAATTTGAGCCAAAATGGATGAACTGAACTTGAATATGTAAATTTGGAAGAATTTATTTTTGTGAATACTTGATTTTTATTGTCATTATCATCAAATGTATGGTGATATAAGCTAATTCCATACATTATATGATAATTAATTCTAGTGATACTTCTCAAATAATAATAATGCTGGTGGTGGTAGTAGTAAATAAATAAATAAAATCTAGGGATACTTGCATTTAATTATATTTGTTCACTATATGATGTGCCTTTTACGATTGGTGTATTATTAATTAATCCTTTACATAGTTACATAATTATTATTGTCCCATATAACTCACTCTTTTTTACTTACCTTTTCTTTGCACTGATTTTTTTTTCCCTTATATAATGGATCCAAGGAGGTATGCCGGGCATAAGAGGACCATCAAACCAAATGCAAAGAAGCTCAGTGCTTTGTTCATGGCAAGGGATCGGATGGACTGGGATGCATTTGCCAAAAAGGTGAAAGCAAGCCAGAGAGGATTTATGGGGGAGCCAGATGAGGTGAGGCCTGGACGAGGTGACTTCCATGAATATCCATCGTGTATTTGTGAGAGGCCATTCACTGATGAAAACAGCAAGGGTGAAGAGCAACTGGCAGACAGAATTCCTATGAACTTCAAAGAAAAAGTTCACTCTAAGTATGCTGGAGAGAACCAAGGTGACAAAAGCCTCCAGAGATTGAAGAAGATAAGCATGGGAGAAGAACCGATATCTTTAAGAGAGAATGAGGATGGTGAAAATTTTCCTGACTAAACGGACAAATGAAGGCAGCTCCTGGTTAATGGCAAGCATAAATTTATGCCTCCCTTCTCATGCTGGCACAAATTTGTATTCACTGTGGCATCATAACATAAGCCTTCTTCCAGTGTAGTATCCGCTTTCCTTCTCTGTTCAGCAACTGTGATTGGATCAACGAATGAATTGGGTCTGTGTACAGGAGACAGGGAACTTCAATGAGCTGCAATTGTTCATAGATAGTTTTGCTAGGGAAACATGTTTGTACTTTGTAGGCTTGTCGAAGTCAATGGAACTTATGTGGTTGTATCAACGAAGTTAGACTTCATTGTGTCATCGTGTTCTTTGTTTCTCTACATTCGTTTGAGATAAAACTGGTAATGAAATGCTGTGAAATTGTTTGCCACTGGCATAATTTTAAATAACGATTGTGGTTGAAAAATGACGAAGATTGCGATCGTCGATCGCTATTTATCACGATAATAAAATAACGGTTGTGGCAATCGATGTCGTGAAAACATTAATAATTGTTAATAAATTTATTCTAATTTATATATTTTTAATAGTTTTATTAATTAAGCATACTAATAATTAATAATATTTCTAATAGTTTAATATCATACAACAATAGTTAAATTTATTATAAAAAATAGTTAATAGCACTTCGATAGATTAATATTACATAAAAAATAATAAATATATTAAATTTTAATATACATATTATAAAATATTTATCTCCAAAAAAATTGTCGTGGACAATCATAATAACGATTATCATTTTGTTGTTGATGTTGTGATTCTTCTCCATCAAAATTATAACCATAACTAGTTTGAAAAACAAATTAAAAATTAACATAAAATTGAAAAAAATAAATAAATAAGTTTTTAAAACAAGAATGACCAACTGATTTATTTTTTTCAAACTAAAAGGATCTGCTTGCATTTGCTTTGCAGCATTTGAATTTGTGCTCAAAACATACAAAGTAGAATAATAAAGAATAAATTATATATTAATCCCTTTAGTTTCGATAAATGAATTAATTAACCTTTAACTAATTATTTAATTTTTTAATCAGTATTAATCATGTTTAATATAATATATTTTATTTCATAAAATATTTTCTTTTTTTATCAATCTTTTTTTTATGGTATAAATTTATTTTTTAAAACAAAAAATTAGAAAATAATACAAAACGAACAAAATAACTAAATTAGTTTTTCAAAATAAAAGGACTAATTTAGAATTTATTCAATCAAAGCCTTCAAATACAAGAATTTGATTTTTTTTTTTTTTTCATATTAAAGCCGACAAATGAAGTCTAATCTTCCCGTGGATTCTAGCTTTCCAAAATAAAAAGACTAAATTATTGGTCTTAAATGGAACTCTTTCCCCAAAGAAAGCAAAAAGACTTTTAGGCTATGGTGGAAAGATGTAATGATTATAACGACTTATATGAGTACTCTCACTAGATAAATTGAGCTTTTTTAGGGCTTGAAGGAAGAAGGCTAGAAAGAATAAAGTCCGTCCGGGGTAACTCTCGTGTAACATGATGGGTCTAGCTTCTCCGGTCTCTCATCTATTTATTCTCTATGGCTGAAACTTTGTTTTTTTTTTTTTTTTTTTTTTTTTTCACAAATGTGTAACCTCATTATATAACGACAAATAGCAATATTATATAATGATAACATCGTTATTTGTCGTTATTTATGTGAAATGACATCGTGGCACCCGTAATGTCAAATAACGATAACGAGGTGCCCCGTTATCATTATATAACGATCGTTACATGTTTTCTTAAAACTATGCACTCGTAGTGTCTTTACAATTCAAAGGGAAAAACATGCAAAAGGGAGGCAGGAAATATGGTGCTTCTTTGCCACTAGAAAAGCAACTTTGTTTTTATAGTGTACATTTCATAAGTTTCAAAATTCAAATTCAAATTCAAATAAAAAAAAAAAAAGAAGAAGAAGCAACAACAACAACCTCAACTAGTTTTTGAGCAGAAAACCGTCATTAAGAACGATGTTGTTGAAGTAAAAAATTTTTACCGGTGCCGCAATTACTAATTTCTCATCTATGCCTCTTTTGTTAGATGAAGATTGTTATCCTCAAAGCCACACACCAGCTTCTATGCACGATGGTTGGATGCATTGTTTATAGTAACCCAAAGCCCTTGCAAGTTGTCTTTGATTTTGAATGTTTACAAGCTAAGTTCTTACACCGAGATAGGTTCCGAAGATGATATGAGAAAAATGGTAAAAAGTGATTTGGAAAAAAAGAGTAGGGAGAGAGAAGAAGAGAAGGAGAGTAGAAGGAAAGTTGAAGAAGAGAGAGTAAGAGAGGATAAATTTTGTTAGTATTTTCTATACCTTATTTCATTCTTCTATTTATTCTTATGTTATCAATGATAAGGACTAATAGCAATCCTTATAAGCTAAATAGCATAGCAGATCTATCCAAGTAGAGGCTCAAACACTAACGGTATAGGCCCTAATTAATATTAGGTTTCAAACCCATTATGACTAGCTTGACAAGCCCAGGCTCCAACTAAAAAAAAAAACCCTAGCCTAACTATACTTAAGCCCAAACCAATTAATCAATCCTTCTCGTGTAATTGAAGAGTCCCCCAATTTAATTGGTCTCTTCTAATTCCAAGTTCGATTTGGGTCTTTATGCCTCTATCTCTTTCATTCCCCAATTCATCGATTAGGTTTCTATCCCTTCACTTTTTCCATGTATCAATGCCCTCTCTTTTAAATTGCCCTTGTCCTCAAGGGAGAATGATGGAAACCATAATTGATCTTATCTCGCAAACTCCAATATGGCATCCGTTGAAGAAAGATCATTATAGTGGATAAACCACTAAACAACTCGCTTTGTTTCCCTTTCGATAATTCATTTGTGAATCACTATCAAGGGTTGAGAGGGTGAACTTAGGTGCGGATTAAGGAGCCGCTTGATCATTAGGAAATATCCGATTGACTTTTTTAGAAAGGAAACATGAAGCACCGAATGAATCGAAGCCAAAGAAGGTAACTTAAATTGGTAAGTAACCTTTCCCACCCTCTCCTCTATCATAAAAAGGTCATAATACTTAGCATATAGTTTATGAAACTATCTTTTAATGATCAAGTGTTGCTTGTAGGGTTGTAGCTTGAAGAATACCCAATCTCCCACATCAAATTGACAATCTGTTCGACATTTATTAGCGATCTAGACCATACCATTCCGCGCTCTCTAGACCATACCATTCTGCGCTCTCTAGAGATTTGTTCTTAAGGTGTTGAAACATGACTTCCCTAGATGTAAAGTAAGAATCCATCGACTCAATTTGAGAATCTTTAGGAAAGTAGAGTAGATGGATAAGGGGTGAAGCCTTGTATAACCCCTCAAAAGGTTTGAACCTTATAGAGAAGTGGAAGCTAATATTGTACCACCACTCTCTCAAGAGAAGCCATTTTGACCATTCGATGAGTGTGTCACCTACTATACACCTTAGGTAAGTCTCTAAACACTCGTTGATTATCCCCGTTTATCTATCAAATTGGGGATGGTAGGTCGTAGAGTAGTGTAAATCGACATCCTAAAGAGAGAATATTTTTTTTCTATAAGTTATTGAAGAAAATAGGGTCTCGTTACTAACAATAGAAATAGGTAACCCAAGTAACTTAAACACAATGTCTAGAAATAGATAAGGCATTATTTAGGTAGTGTAGGGATGAATGAGGCTCATAAAAAGAGCATACTTACTTAGACGGTTAACTAGTATAAATACGATTGTCTTTCTTTTAAACTTTAGGAGTAATTATATAAAATCCATAGAGATGTCTATAAAAACCCATTGGGGTATATGGAGTGGCTACAATAAGCTAGGAGTAGCCATTAATTCTTGTTTGTTTGCCCGACACAATGGATAATTTCTTATATAATACTTGATATCCCTTTACTCGTCCCTTTTAGTAAAAAACTCCTCTCCATCTTTTTGGTTGTTATTGTGATTCTTGAGTAGCTTCCTAGGACAGAGTGTTATGGAATAGACGCAAAATGTATGCCTTTAATCGTGCATCATCTCCTACCACTAGTTTACTTTTTTTATGAGAATATCATTTTGCCACTTATATTTAGGATGAGTCATAGGGTTCCTAGTCAATTCGTCAACGATATTTGAAGTTTAGGATCAACGAGTCATGATTGTCTTACCTATAGTAGTTAATCAAACGAAAGAGTAGAAACTCGTTATAGATAGAACTTCGAGTGTTAGGCATTTTGGATAGTGCATCGCTTGCTATATTTTCCTTACCATTCTTATGTAACATCTCACAATCAAACCCAAGCAACTTAGCAAGCGAATTTTGTTAACTCGCTAGTGAAAAGCTTCTTCTCTAGTAAGCACTTATGACAGGTGATGCTCTTTTTTTATTTTGAAGTGCCTAGAATTCAAATAATGCCTTCATTATTTGACAACATACAAAATTGCTTGTGGTTCCCTCTCTTAGGTTGATAAAGCTTGATATCTAAGAGATAGAGCCTTGTTGATGTAGGAAATATGGTGCCCACGTTATGTAAAAATGACCCTAATTTCTTTTTGAAGCATCTATCTCAATAGTGAATTCTCTAGTAAAGTGCAATGGTCATCATTTTTTTGAGTTTGTTAAGGGCTTCGATAGCTTGGTCAATCCATAAGAAGTTGTCTTTTTATAGCAAGAATGTCAAAGGTCCGTTAAGTACCCCATACCCTTTAATAAACCTTTTATAATATCTTGTCAAACCCAAAATTCCCCAGCTTGTTTTAAATTTTAAGGAATTGGCCAATCAACCATAACTTAAATCTTCTTAGGAATAATCGAGACACTTTTAGCTAAGAAGTAGTGTTCCAAGTACTAAACCTTAACACTACCAAAAACATATTTACTTAATTTAACAAACAAGTTTGTGATGTTATAGCGGGTCAATACTATTTTTGTATAGGCCAAGTGATTGTCTAGAGTGGTACTGTAAATTAAAATGTCATTAAAAAATACCAATACAAACTTCCTTAAATAAGCCATAAATATTTTATTCATTAGGTATTGAAAAGTGACAAGTGGCATTAGTGAGACCAAAAAACATAACTAAGAATTCATAAGTGGCTATTGTGGGTTTTGAAAGCCATTTTAGGTATCTCGTAGACCTTAGTTCAATCTTGGAATTGATAGTAGTCACATATAGTTCTTCTAGAAATTCTTCAATTAAAGAGATGAAACTTATTTTTTATTGTGATGCTATTTGGAGCTCTATAATCAACACACAACCTTCATAAATCTTTTTTTTTTTTTTACTAGGACCACTGTAGAAGCAAAATGATTGATACTATGCTAGAATATACCCGTGATATGGTCTTTTGTTCAGGGGTAGCACTCTTTCTTGCAAAAGGAATTATGTGATTATGGGATCTAGTTGGTGGTAGAGTTCGAGCTAAAAAAATATTGTTTAAAATGCAACTACAAAAGCCGTAATCAAGGGATAAATTGATTGTTGTTGACAAGTAAGAACTATCTCGCTCATTTTTTTTATTTGTTAAGCAAGCTCAAGTAGTAAAATGTTGTAAAAGTGTGCTTGTACTACTTGAGTAGATTGCTCCAATAGTCTCTATTTTTAGGAAATGAAAATGATTTGCGACTTAGCATGATGGTGACCAGCTAGTTTGATTTCCCTTCTATCCATTGTAAACTTCATCTACATTTCCCGATAATTAAACACAAAATCCCCAAGTTGTGACAACCACTAGACTCAACACCATGTCATTATTATAGAGTTCCATTACTAGCATATCTTTATAGAACTAAACCCCTTGTATAATCCAATGAAACCCCTCGCAAACCGATATGTGTAAGCATGTTATTCCTATTAGCAACCCCCATATCTAAAGGCTTGATAAGTGGTAGCCCACATCCTAGCTTTTTGGTTGTAGTTAGGTTCGGGAAGTTATGAGTGCAGCTAGATTTCAGAAGGATATGTAGAGTACTAATGTTCTTATACCCCCACCATTCTCAAGGTCCTAAACCCACTCCAGTCCTCTAATGCATTGACGGGGATATGTGGATTAGGTTCTTGTTGGGTTTCCATATTAAGTTGTTGCTCCTCCATCCCTTCTAACTTTTACACCTCTTTATCATCTATTATTTAAATGAAAAAGAACCTTTTCTACTTACATTTATGCCCTAGTGCATATGTTTCATCACATGAGAAAGACCGGTTTTTTTTTCCTCAAACTATTTGCTAGTTAGGGTTTTAGGCTAATAAGACTTGGTGTTCGGCTATATGTATTTGGTTTTTAGTTATGTAGAAAATATGGATTAGTGTTTGATAAGTTGTATGGTGTCGAGTTGTTGGATTAAACTTATTGAATGATGGTTATATTCTATTTGGGTACGTTGTTATGGTTTTAGAATGATCTATTTCGAGGTAGGTGTTTGTGGTATCTTATTTTCGAGCTAAGTTATAGGCCTTAGTAAGGGTTTGATATTCAAACATAGAGATTGGATCCTGGACATCTTCATTCAAACCTATCAAAAACATACTCGATGCTTTATGTTCATTTATGGTAGCTCGTTCCATAAGGTGTCAAATTCATATATATATAGGATTCTAAGTTAGATGTTTGAGTGAGATTTTTCAGTAGCCCAATGAATCTAACTTGGCTCGAATCTACTTATCATTATTTATAATCCTCTCATGGTCATTTCCTTTCCAAGTTTTCGGTGTGGGCTTGGTGCCAGTATAGAGGCTTGCCATCTAAGAAGAACGAGGTATATTGGATTTTTTTCATAGCCATCCATTGGTTCTATGTCAAAGAACTAATTGGATTTAAACAACCATTTGTTGATACCTTCATCAACGAATAATGAAAAATCTCTTTTTGGTTTCTTAGGTTTGCCGCAGTGGTTGAACTCGTGAGTTTGATTTTGGAGATGAGGTATGTAAGAAGCATGGTTGAAAGGTTACAAAAAGGAAAGAATCATGATGGTTGTAAGTGTTGGTAAGATGGGGTTTGAGGATGATGGAGTGTGTGGATCTAGTGGGTATGGGTTCACAGGATCGGTGGTCGAAGGATGGTGGGATGAAGATGCCAATCATGGTTTTAAAAAATGATCATTACATAGCATAACGACTATTATATAACCGTTTTAGGGTACTCCGTTATTGTTATTTAGCGTTATAGGTGCCCATATGTCATTTCACACATATAATAGCAAATAACGATGTTATCATTATATAACATCGTTATTTTCTATTACATAATGATGTTATACATAATAATTTAAAAAAAAATCAGCCATTTTAGCAACTTGAATTTCAACCACAAGAGTAGAGAGGCAAGGACCGAGAGTCTCTCGACTCAACCCATGCCACCTATGTTTCCTTCACTACCACCCGAAAACCTAGATGCCATTAGATTTTGGAATCCCTTTCTTATTTTCTTGGAGGGTTGCTGAAAACCCAAATGCTATTAGAAGTTGAGGTTTCCAAAGAATCCTTTTTGCTTTCTTGGAAGGTTACCGAAAACCCAAAAGCCATTATAAGTTAAGTTTTTTTCAAAAATCTACCCATTTCTTGTTTTCTTGCAGGGTTACAAAAAGAAAAGAGAGAGCATGATATAGAGAGAGAGAGTTTCTTTCTTTCATTAAGCTTTTTTTTTTTTTTTCTTGTGAGGTTGAAACGAATTCCGATATAAAGGAGAATGTCACCCCTTGATTTGTTCTTTTTTATGATGATCAATGGTGATTATTGAATTATAAGTTATATCATGCTCTTTCTTCATGTGAAGTCGTGACTCTTTGTACTTACTTAATAGGAAAGGATAAGATAGAATTAAATACATTTATGTTGGAAAAATATTAAATTAGTCCTTTTATTTTGGCAAAATAAATTATTTAGTTTTTTTATTCCAAAAATCAATTATTTAGTTATTTTTGTTCATTTTATCTTTTAATTTTTTCGAAAAAAAATAAATTTATATCATGAAAAGATTGATGAAAAAAGAAAACATTTTATAAGATAAAATATATTACATTAAACATGATCAATATTGATAAAAAAAATTAAATAATTAATTTTTAAAACAATAAAAATTAATTAATACATTTTTATCAAAACTAGAAGGACTAATGTATAATTTACTTCGGGTTTCGTCTTATGGTGCAACAAATTCAAAGGCCTACAAATGCAAGGTGTAATTGATTAAATTATAAATTAGTCCCTTTAGTTTGGAAAAGTAAAGTAGTTACTCTTTCTTGTTTCGAAAACTAATTATTTAGTCATATTTTTCAATTTTATGCTATTTTTTAATTTGTTTTCCTTTTTAAAAAAAATTAGAAAAGGTAAAAAAAAAAAATTACATCATGAAAAGATTGATGGAAAAAAAAACATTTGTAAAATAAACTATATTACATTAAACATAATTAATATCGATAAAAAGATTAAATAGTTAATTTTTGAAACATAAAAGACTATTTAATTCATTTATCAAAACTAAAGAAACTAATGATAATTTACTCCCTCACCAAATTGCAGCCTTTGAATTTGATTGCATATAATCAAATGATGAAAGAAAAAAATATATCATTTCCCAAGTTTAAATATCTTGTAATTTTCAACTTCATTCGTGTCTTTATAAAATTATTAGAGATCAACTCTAAGCATTGAACTCTCTCTCAAGTCTCAATTTATTTTACACTTCTTATTTTCTTAATAAATCACATAAAATATTTAAAATATTTGTTTGAAAAGTAGATAATTCGTTTTATAATTTTTTTGTGTGATATTAATCGTTATAAGTCTTATTAACTTTTTTTTTATATAATAAATTCAACTAATATTGTATGATATTAAACTATTAAAAATGTTATTACTTATTAATATGCTAAATTAGTAAAATTGTTAAAATTACGCTAATTAGAATAAATTTATTAACGATTGCTAATGTATTCACAACATTTGTTACCGCAATCGTTATCTTACAACAACGATAAGCCGTGATCCGTTATCACGATCGTGACCGTTTTTTCAACTCGTGATCACTATTTAAAACTATGATGTCATCTCGTTTGTATAACAAGTTATTTAATCTCTGTCAATCCTAGTTATTTTTGGTATTTTTGGTGTTTATGAACTTGTTCCCACTTGTCTGAATGTTTTCTTAACCCTCAGGCTATTGTCTCAATCTTTTCAGAGGTGTCTTGAGCTAACACCTTGAAAGCTTCTCCCAGTTTGTTCAAGTTATCAAGCTTCGCATTTTTTGTCATGGTGGTAAAAGTTTGAGAATCAGTGGCTCTGATACTAGTTGACACGCGAAAAATGATAAAAAGAGATTTGGAGAGAGAAGAAAAGAGAGAGGGAGAGATGACACAGTTTGTTATAATTTTGTGTACCTCATTTCATTCTTCTATTTATTCTTATACTATCTTGTGATAAGGACAAACAACAATCCTTAAAAGCCGAATAGCATAACAGATCCATCCATGTAGAGGACCGAACACTAATAATACAAACCCGAATTAATACTAGGTTCCCAACCTAATGTAACTAGCTTAGCAATCCTAGGCTCTGGCTAATAACAAAACCCTTGCCCGATCGAATTGGCCCAAATATACTTACGCCCAAACCAATTAATATATTTAAAGAGTCCCCCAATTCAATTGGTCTCTTCCAATTCCTAATTCGGTTTGGGCCTCCATGCCCCAATTCGTCGAATGACCCTTCTGTCCCTTCTCTTTCCCTGCATCAGAAGATGAGATTATACACTGGATCTGTGAAGCAATCATTAGCTCTGGGAAGCGACGAAAGCTTGCAAGAAAATCTCCCGAAGTTCTAGAACCAACAGGAGAAACCACCTTTTTTTTTATCTTTTCATTTTTATAAATCAGATCAGTAACCATGATCTTTTACAAGATACGCCTCAGCTCAAGTGTTATTGATGGACATAATAGTTCTAACAAAAAGAATCAACTAGGGATTGGAGACCCCTAGCAGTTCAATCAGCCCCCTCACTAAATTTATATAGTACAGAAAACTTAAGAAAAGCTTATTGATTGTGCAAAAGACCATCCCCACCATAACACTGACCACCTAAAAAGGGAATTCAAGAGGTATACATGTGACTGATCAGCAAAGCTTCCCGCAATTTCAAGCCAAACTACAATGGAGATTTTCCATATACAACCCTCATGGCAAATGCTAGGAGACCAACTCATCATTGCAAATAAACTAAAATTGATATGAACATCTACCCACTACATGTCATATTATACCCACGGAAGCAGAGATTCCATTCCTAGCTATCTCCTCTATTATAACTATACACACAACAACTACTCTTGGTGTGTTGTCCAGCGACCATTGAGCTTCTTTGCACTGGATTTTCATAATTGCAAGAGCTCCTCTCAGCCATGGTTATTCCCTGCAACAACAAAAGCAATCAGTTTTACGAATTTTCATCTCGCACAAATGCACATACAAGGCTGGAAGTGAATTCTGCAAGGAGATGTCACCTCTAGAAGCAGTCCTACTTTTCTGACTTTTATCATGTGACACGGACGGAATTTTTGAGACCATCAAGGAGCTCTGTAGCCCTTCTAATAGCTGCGAACAACAAGATCGGTAAATAAAGCTTGTCAGGCCAGAAATTCAAGGCATGAAGACCTTAATCTGCTTGAAAAACAATTGCCAAGAAAAGGTAATAAAACAGAGAAGGGTCTCCATGTCGAAAAGCCATGTCTAATATCAAGTGGAACTGCTCCAAAGAAGATCCCAAGAAAATGGTAATGAAAAACCCAATAAATGACCTCATCATTCAATTTTCCTATCTTGAAAATCACCCTTCGATGACCATTTATAAAATTAACTGGAAGAGGCATGTGGTTTCACTTCCACCAGCCAAAAACACAATTTAAGGGAAAGTTTAATGAGAGGAGACCATCTTTGAATTCTTTCTATACACAATTCCTCAATTTTTATTTGTTACCCACCCATTTTTGAAGGACTGGAAAAGTGTTCCCTGAACAGATACGAAGTATTGAAACACGTCTTTCAGAAAGAGATGCTCCAAGAACCTCCGGACATTGCTGACAAGCTAGAATATGCAAGGTTGAGTAGAAATCGTTCTATCAACATGGTAATTTTCAAAAGGAAGCTGCATTTTCTACAGGCCTATTGGCCCCTAAGAAAGATGGGTGAGGATGAAGAAACCAGGCTGCTTTGTATGGATGGGAAAATGTAAACTACCACATAAAAAATGATTTGATGCAACAAACTAAGGTGCATAAGACTGCATCAAATGCTTCAAAAACAATCAAGGCCATTAACCAGTTATCATCCTCACAGAAGTGGGTCCAGGGAGGAGACTAACAGCATAACATATGGATTTGGAGCTTTAAAAACGTACTCTTGATGTAGGCTGAATTCTACGGTTAGACCTCCGGGGCTCTGTGACATCAGAGGTTGATTTTGAAGAATTTCCATTGAAAACTTTGTCCTCCTCAATTCTACCCAGCTTTCCACCAGCAGGAGCAAGTTTTCCCTTGCTTACCCGTTGAAGTTTAGCATTTGATGTGGACATTTTCTTAGAGGAATGTGTAACTGGAGGAGGAAAGGAAGAAAATATTGGACCCTCTGCTGCTCCCACGGAGCTAGATAAGGGCTGCAAGTCAGTCAAGCTATGTTTTTCAGAAGTATTTTCAACATGGCTTACAGAAGCCTTGGTCTTTGCAACATGATCTGGAACAGCACCATCACCAGAAACAGAAACTGCAGCAGTCGATGAGTTGTCCTTCTGACTAACTGTTCTACCAGAAACATTCTGTGGCTTTCCTGACTTAAGAACCTTGGGCTTCGATGCAGCTGTTCGTTTTTCGATTGATTCAGTTCTTAAAGTACTCTTCCATCCACGAGATCCTGATCCCTGAGGCATCAAATATTTCCCAAACTTAACCGAATCATTTGCATCATTGTTTTTGCTGCTCCGATCTGCAACATAATGCTTGCTCACTTCCATAAACTTTCTTTTTTTTCCAGGCTTTGGAACACCAAAGATCACTCTAGATCCTTCCTTCTGCAAGCCAGTCCTTGTCATTCTGAGTGCATCAGGTTTATTCCCATCTTTTGTACTCTTACCAATATTGAACAATTTTTCATGAGCAGCTAAATCCAGTAAAGTTGGCTCATCAGGTTTATCAGTTTCCAAAGAATCAGAACCTTTCGACATCTTATCCTTCCCTTTGACATCCACTGCAGGGCTCCGCACCCTTGGTCGTTTTTCTTGTGGTGTATCACCCTGGAACACCAAATATGTGAGTCAATGAAACCAAGAAAGTTTCAGATCAATACCCAGTGAAATATCAAATGAAAGTACCCCATTGGTAGAATGAGTGTCCGCTTTTGAACTGGATGATTCAATCCATTCCTCATTTTCCCATAGGAGAGAAGGCCGAAGATGCCATGCTCTAACAACTGATCTTTCTCCTTGAACTGCAAGCAGAGTGACAGATTCATATATGAAATGCTACCTCTATATCCAATAACAGAGAAGAATGCAACAATGTGGCTGTTCTTCCATCTACAGACACCAGTTGTACATACCTGGAAATTGGACCGTTACCATGGAGTCATCTTTCTTGCCCCTTTCAATGACCACTCCTTCCCACCAGCTGAAGAATATCTCACACATATCAAAATGGAAAATATAGAGTAGCATGATCTATAAAGTGCCAAACCACAGTTGCAGCGGCATAAAGTATATGGGAGAACTGAAAAATGGTACAATGGCAAGAATAACTGCTGCAAATCATATCATTAATAGGCCCTCATATCACAAAGGATGGGAAATAAATTCATCGGATTGAATTATGCTTATAAAGCGGCAAAAGAGGAGAGGTTGGGCAACCCTTACAAAAGACAAGGCATGAACCCCTGAGTTTATGGGAGAACTTGCTATCCTAATATAGTCTTACTAAAAAGTACCCTTTTTTCTTTATGCTCCCTGAAAGGGAGATGTTTCAAGCTAAAATGAAGTCTTTCAGATTTTTGGTTGTTTCTAATACATATCAAAAAGGAAGTTTACCATAAAGAAATATATATTAAAAAAAAAATCGTTTAAATTGATTAAAGAGGTTAATCACATGATAAACAACACCTGGTCATAGATAGGATTCAGAACTTGGTTATTCACCTATCAGAATAGTATCCACTTGTGAGATATTCTCGATATTTTTATCCCGCAATTTAGTATCAGAAACATATATATATATATATTCATGTCAAATGTTGGTACCACACTACAGCTGTAGAGTAGTAGTATTGAAACAAACCTATCTTGTATCCATGCATCCACTCTATCACCAACAGACCAAATATGGTCGACCGTGGCAGCTCGTCGTCTCTTCCTTGTTCCTTCAAATGGCATGGCAGTAATAGGGCGAGCTATTCGTATTTTTGGGGCCCTTTCTCCTTCACCTTTAAGTGGCACCCACTCCTTTAGCTTCTCTGGACCTGCCAGAAATTCAAAATGAAAAATATGATCAATTAATCTGCATGCATGGGTTAATGCTACAATTATTCCCTCTTCTTTCAACAAGCTACTCAAGGAGAGTCCTTAGAAAATCACTGCCAGTTGGCTGTGATGAGCAAGATGCCAATAACAGAATTCATCAAGGAAATTCTCTCTGATCACAAGGTTATGTATGCATTGGGGGATTAGCAAAGCCTGCATGATGCTGCTGAACATGACAATACTATAGATTCTATCTTCTGCGTCAACATCGCCCCCATTTCAGTTCCAAGACCTCCTGCTACATTCATCATAGCTCATACAGATCTTTATACATTAAAACAGCCACACAAGTAAGAACATTTAAAGAATTGGCTCCATAGCTACAAATATTAAGGCAACTGTAAACTCATCAGAAGTTGGGGCAACATGACATACAAGCCACATCTGACATTCTTCAAGCTATCATACATATGCAAAAAACGCACATGCAGCAAAAAGAAAGCAAGCAAAGGATTCTCCAAGTTCTCTGCATTCAGAAGCATCAACAATCTACCGGTTCCTAATACATAGAATGACATTAGAGACGATGACTCACCTTCAACTAAAGAAAGGTTAGTATAGCTCACACATGCCTTCCCATCCTTTAAATCCACCACGTTGGCTAGGTACCAGGCTGCTTTAAATCCATTCTCGTCTTTGAAAACCTAGGAAAGCAAATAATACTGACAAGTCAACAAAGACCGAGGGCAAACAAATCTCAATGAAGGATTAAAAAGGACACAAAATATCTAACACAAGCAAACATCCAAATCAGAACACACTCCACAATAGACTAAAATGGAAAGGTGAAGACAAAAACAAGCTTTAAAAATTAAGCTTTACTATTCCAATAAGGTAATATAAGAAAAGTTAGCAATTGCAAACCTCTACGTGGGACCCCTCCTTGATGCTATTATAGTCTTCTATAGTTCCCAAAGATCTCGAACCATTCTCAAATTCAGACACCTTGTAGCCCTTTTGTCCTTTAGCATCCTTTGCAGTGACTGCACCAGAATTCAAGAAACCATCTACCACTCTCGCATGGTCCTCAGCAGACCCCTCAATTGGAGCAGGTGATTTCCCATGGTCATTGACCTGTGTTGCTTTCTTACCTGACACAGAAGAAGTGTCTGGTCCTCCTCCAACTCTATCCAAATTAAGAGTTTTTCTAGCTATATCATTTGATTTAGAGCCCAGTTCATTATTTATTTGGGCTACTTTCCAATAACCCTCTGGACCAGCAGCTACCAGCTCGTTCAGTGGCAAAGGATCACTCATAGCAACTATCTTCCCAGCTTGGGATACAGCTTCTGCAGCCAGCTCTGCAGCTTTAACAATAGCATCCATATTTTCAGCTCGTATTGCAGCAGCAGAAGCAGCTTCAACTCTCCGTCTAGCAGCCTCCCTTGCAGCCACAAGGATTGAACTGGAACTGTTTGTCCCCTCATCACCCTTCAGGATGGAAGCAGGAGAAGCCTTTCCCAAATTCTTCATGCCTTCAGAAACAGAAATTGCATTGTCTTGACTGGGATTGCTGTAACCAACAGAATTTACTACTTCATCAGCCATCAGTTTTGCTTGCAATGCAGCATTAGAAGCAACATTGGCAGCTGCTGCTGCTGCTTTTGCAACAGCAGCAGCTGCTGCTATTGCAACAGCGGCAGAAGCTAGTTTGGCTTCAACATCTGGTAATAACCCAGTATTTCTCTGCTTATCTAACTGATTCCATATTTCCAGGCTGTGACTAACAGCAGCAGTAGCAAGACTAGTAGCATCCTCTGCCTGCACCCTCGCAGCCTTCACTTTGTCAAGGGTCTCCTCTGACAAAATATTCCTCTGTTCTGCATTCTGATTCCCTTTTCGGATATCAATAAGTGTAGAAGACACAGAAGTCGCAAATTTCTCTGAAGGAGCTTTAGAAACAAAGACAATTGGGGTTGTAATGGCAACAGAAGTAGACAGATGACTGGTAACAACAGGAGCAGGAACTGATTCTGTTTGAGGGTGAGGATACAAAATATTCTGACCAGGACTCTCAGAAACTGTGGTCTTTTTTCTTTTTCTAGGCTTTGGATCAGTAGGACGTTGACTAGATAATGCTGTAACCTTTTTCGCATCTGGAACAGGAGAAGTCCCAGTAAAAACACTGGTGGAAGCCCCACTCTGAACCACAGGACCAAGGGAAACATGTTTTGCACCAGAGACAATTGGCATGGATAAGTCTTTCACAGGTGTCAATTGAACTGGTTCTGTGATCAATTGTGCAGAAAAACGACCACTTGCGTCAAGTACAGGTGTCTGTGGGGATGTAACCCAGGGACCACAAAAAGGTGCCTGAGATAACCAAGGGTTACCAGCAAAATTTCTTATCTGTGGGGTTTGATGAGGATGCAGCGGAGAAAGTGCCCGCTGATGATCCATAATTGGACCCCTCGGCATGCTGCTTGATTGAAATGTGTCGCCGGTGGGGGTAGGTACACTCCAGAGTGGTGAAGAAAGGGGCACCATGGGGTTCACAATTGTTGGAGTACCCTTGCTGGTTCGACCAATAGGTGAAGAGATTACTTTACTTTGAACAGTACTCTGTTTAATTGCTTGGTCGGGAGCTCTGGCACCTGCATATCTCATTTATGCCACACTTAGAACTCAACCAAATCTAAAGCAAGATTACGCAGCTTAAAATCAGAGACAATACCAGGACGTGACTGCAAAGGGGTCTCTGGAGTAGCGAGATGAGATTTTTGACCGGTAAGCCGTTCTATAGACGAGCGTAAAGCATTCTCCCAGATGCTTTTACCACCATCTACAAGGACATTGTCAAAGTGAATGTGTTTTCTCTTTTAGTGTCAAGAAGTACCACAAAACAAGGTAAAGTGCCACTAACCAGATCCTCCAAAAGCTGATATCATATATGCTTCATCTGGAGCTGTTCCTTGACTGTGACAATTATTTCAAACAAAATTAAAGTGAGATTTAGGTAAATCATAATCATCAAACGGGAAGTTTTTCTTGTAACATATGTAAGGATCCTACAAATTCAAAAGCCACCCATTAAATCCAATAACCAAATGAAAAACAGTTCAGCATTTGCATTTTCTATTTCTTTCCTATGTCTTTCCTCTCTTTCGGGATGGGAGGAGAAGGGAGTTCATGAATGCCATCTAAGACATCCAACAGCACTTGAATCAAATACTGAAATTAATTTTGCAAACTCCATCCATATATATGCAAAAATGAATTCTTACTAACAATATTCCAAGAACAAAATAGCAGGGACATACATCAAAGCACCATAAACAAAGATCTGAGCACGCAATTGAACTTGCTGCAAGTCTGTGAAGGGTTGCTGAAACATCACAGATGGAGAAGCAGAAGAATTCAAATCTGGAAGGCTTGATGTGGATGATGCAAGAACAAACGGTTTCATGGTACTGGAATCCACATGACCATAGCGCTGCATCTCATTTGATTGCACATGTTGTGATATCCCAGAAGGGTTTGGGGAGACATTGCTCATCTTTTCCCCTTTTTCTAGCCTCACAGAAGCAGTTTCTTTACTAGGATTTCCCTTTCTGGCACTTTCCTTTCCCATGGCCTTACCAGATGACCGTCTTGTTTTACGCTCAGAAGCACCTTTAGAACCACTTCGCACAGTGGCTCCTTCAGAAACTTTTGGATTTCCATGCGAAAGATCTTGAGCAATCTTGGGATCTATTTGGCCTAAGCCAGATGCTGAAGGAGAAGCATTCACAATCTTCAAAAAGGAGCCAAAAAAGAAAAGGAAAACAAACAAAGAACAAATTGATAAGGATCATAAAAGGTATCATCAATATAATGTCAGATCACAATGGAAAAGTAGTAAAGGATCTGCATATCATAATTTTACCGGGGACACTTTAGTGACTGGTATGTTGAAAAAGGGCTGCCATTTATTGCCAGCTTCTTTCTGAGGCATGTTTGCCAGTGGACTGACCTCAAAAGTGAAGCTCCTCTCATCTTTGGATGCATCATTTTGTTTTGGATCCTGAGAAGCAGACAAAGGTTTGTTGGCAGTGCCATCAGCAACAGCAGTCTGCTCTGCTGAGCACTTGGCTCCTTCGTCACTTTCAATCTGAAAACCCCCAGCAGCTCTGATGACAGTAGGGGAATCATTGGATGGCTTGCCAACATCAGCACAACTTCCACAATCTAGCAAAACACATAAAATGAAGTTTTAAACGTACAAAACTAGGAACATTCATGTGTTTTTCCCTTTAATCAAATAAGAGCCCAGGACAAGGCTAGCAAGCAGGAATGACAGATTAACAATAAAATAACAAAGAATAAATGAATGGCTAACCGCTTGTGCTAGGTACAGCAATCTTCCCATCACTTTTATCTCCATACACTATGGCAGCTTCATTTTCTTCCTGACCTCTCTGACTAGCATACTCTCGACACTCTTCTGTCGGTTCTGCATAATAAAAAAACACAGAAAAACACAGAAATAATCATAGGAGTTCTTAGGAGAATAAGAAAGTTGGATTCATCAAATCAGGATATCTATATCAGGACAGAGAAAAGGGGGAAGGAACCCAAACAATAATTAACACTTCTAGGCACCAGTTATTGACAACCATGCACAGAAGCAGATTGTCAGCTGAAATAATTAGGCACGATGCCATATACAAATTAAAACAAAACGCATGGGGTCATACAGGCAGACATACTGAGAATTGGTAGATGGCATCTCGCTTCATAAACATCCAAAAGATATCGCAAACTACACGATCAGAATTTGCATATACTCACACATTTTGGGGAGTTCAGTGAGCTGGGAATAAAATAGAATCAAATAAATGTTCTAATATGCTAATTATCTAAAATTCTATAACTCACCTGAAAATTTGGAAGATTCCTTTTCATCATTCTCTTTTACTAATACTTCAGCATCATCTCCCTTCTTTGCAGTTAAGTCACAAAGAACTGGACACACTTCCATTTCCTTTGTGCACTTCAGGCTGACTTTGTCAGTTACTTCTGATTGAGGTCCTTCTGTTTTACTAGCATCCACCATTAATGGAGATTGTTCAGCTGACTCACATAATATCTGTCCTGCAGCACCAGAAGAAGCACCTTTTCCGGATTTAGAAACAGGGTTTAATCCAGCTATCACTTGGGAAGAGGTCTTCAGACCTGATAAAGTCGCCTCCACAGAAATCTTGTCTCCAATTTCTTTCTCTTTATCTAAGGCACCACTTAAAGGTGACATTTTGACATCTTTGTCACCAATAGCTGCATCTAAAGTAATGACATCACCAGAAGTAGCTGGAACACCATCCAGTGTATCACAGGTTAGAATGTTAGCAGGTTTGCAGCTAACATCTGATGCTGCGACAGAAAAAGAAACAAACATTTTAGCAATAAATAAATTCTGTAGGCTTAATGTAATATTCCATGGAATAAGATTTCGCCATTTACCTGAATTTTTTTCATAAGCAGCATCCGATTGTAATCTCGAAGCTACCAAGTTGTTTTCAGTTCTAACATTGCCAGAAGGAGAATCTATGGTGTCCTTACCCTCAGAAGGAACCATAGTTTTCCCACATATTTGCGAGGATTCAGCAAGTAAAGATGATGAAACTTGGACCTCAGCATGCGTTTCTCCAACAACTTCAGCTGAAGAGCACACTACAGCCAACCCAGAAACACCACCTGTATCGTTATTGCTAATTCCACCAACGTTCACTTCAGAAGGCTCACTGTCTTCAGCAGATAGGTGAGATCCCTCGCATTTACTAGATAAGTTCTTATTATCCAATTGGGAACCATTTGAGTCCTCAATTTCATGCCTCTCAAAAGTAGTAGTATCCTCAACAGCCATCAGTGATACCCCAACAGTATCCACTTTGGCCTGATCACTTGTCAATAAGTCTTCTGGGAAGCCAGAATGCCCCTTCGATATTTTGCAAGAAGGTTCCCCCAAATTACACGAGTTAGTTTCAATGATGTTTGCTTCTTCCATAGATTCCACTGCAGCTGAACACGGATTCTCATCCTCCATTCGGCCCTCTTGACTTAACACATGTCCCTTTTCCTGATTCTCATCAGTGTCTGTTTCCAGAACATTTTTACTACCATCAGAAGTGTCATTTAAGTTACCTGGGCCATCTTTGTCATTCAACTCATCATTTCCTGCAGTGATGTTTTGCACAGAGGCACCATCCTGCATCCCTGAAGCAGAATCTTTCTGTGGCCTATCATTCAAAGATCCATTCACCACATTATCGACTTCCCTTCGATTAACATGATTAGATTTACCATCAAAGGACAGACTCTCTTCAATAATAGGTTGCCTGACCTCTACACTAATAGCAGATGGGTTAACTAAAGGTCCCAAAACACTATCAGCTGATGCTTCACCTTTATGATCCTGAGAATCATCATCAAGAGGCTGATGCCGTCCAACATCACTATCTAATGCAGAAAAATCTTCCACATTCTCACCTGGCAGCAATTTAACCTGTAAATTTGCAGTATCTTCCACTTTGGGTGGTGTACTATTATCCTGTTTCAAGCTGGGCTCCATGTGCTTTAGTATGCAACCCAGTTCATCACAGGCATCTGACTCCTTAGTATTAGTTTTTACAGGAGTATTATCTTCCTGGCCAACAGATTTTAATAACATTTCAACAGATTCTGAGGAAGTAGCTTCAGACCAAACATTGTTGCGCCTCAATAGAGAGCAAGACTCTGCTGCACTTGAACTAAACTGTATCCCACTGGTACCACGAGAGAAATCTTCAATCCACTGGTTGTCCTCGTTACTTTCGATGCCAAGAAAAACCTCAGTCTCAACCAAACTATCAAACCTTAAAGATCCATTAAGACTGTCGTCGAAATCAAACTTGGGAAGAGCATATGGCTGTAAAACAGGAGGAAATTTGTTGCTTCCTTCACCAGCTAAATGAAGATTGTGACTTTGAAAATCATTGTCATCATAATCCATGGGTGTATCCCTAAAGCAGTGAGACAGAAGAGACCAGTCAGGGCAGTTATAGATGTACAAAGGTAACATACCCAAGTTAAAAAAACATCATGCTATAAAGGAAGACAGCAGGAAATACAAAAATTAAAGACTACCAAATTTGAAGTGTCATCTTACAGAGAAAATGGATTAAAAAGCAGGACACACAAGCTCAGAATTTTCATAATTAATAATTATAACTTAATAGCTAACCCACAATGTTACTCCACAAACATTTAGCGGAAAGTACAGAATAACAATGTCTGCCACTACTACATCACCATTCCCCAACCTTTCCATTAATCGTGCTACTTCATTATGTGGACTGATTCCTCTGGTATGCCTCATAGAAAGGCTACCTGGCACCTTATAGCCAATGAATGGTCTTGGTTATATGGTAGAAGTTGATAATGAAGCAAGCGAGGGCAAGGGACCTAGGAAGCAGTGTTATCATAGGCAGCATCATTTAGGAAGTGCAGAAAGTGAAAGAATTATTTCAACAGCTTATCTCACTAGGAAACAAAGAGGTTTTTTGCCTTTAACTATATCACTAGGTGTTCTTACCAACCAAATCCCATGAAACTGTAAATAAAAAATCACAAATGAAAAGAACATCAAAAGTATGCCATTCAACATCATAACACCATAAACCAGTATAAAACCGGCCCCACTCGGGAAAAAAATAGCATTGTCTGACAGTATTTGATTGATTAATAAAACATAAACTCAAATTTAAACACATATAACTTTGTTATTTAGAGAGACAAGATAATTTCACGAGAAAATGTTCTTACATTATAAACAACAAAAGATGGATTTTTTTTTTTTTTAATTCTTCAAAGAAAGCTTGCTTAGAAATAAAAATTTGGGCAGATTTTTTATGACAAAATTTGATTTATAGAAGTCAGTGACGATTAAAAACCATTTGTGCCAAGAGAGATAAGATACAAAACTATCTAGCAGTCTTGGCAAAGAAGATTTAAAAGGACACTTCAAAACAAATTTGGCAGTTTTTCTCATGCCGTTGGCAAATGAGAATGATCCAAGGCATCAACAACAGTGAAGATCATGGGCTGTACAGTGAAGAATGCTTAGATGAAGAAGACAATGCAAATTAATAATCTCGTCAATCCATATTAGATTTGCTTAGAAGTAGAAAATTTAAAATAAACTAGCAGACCATACTCAACATAAATGACAGAAATGCACCAATTAAGTTGAAACAAACGATCCAAATGACGAATCAAACTAGCAAAGACAGATGACACGAATAAGAAAAATGGGACCAAGGAAGTTGTACTCTAGGTATCGTAATTTGGGCACCAATTGCCTAGATCACATCTTTTTTTCTTTTTTTTGGGGGGGGGGGTTCAATGGTCAGGGGTGTCCTCGGCCATTGAACCAAATAAAACCAAAATGGGTCCAAGGCAATTAGCCCAAACTACAACACCTATAACACAACAGCCTATCTACATGACTATGCAGCTAGACAAGTAAAAGATTAAACTGTGAAGGGGAAAAAAAACAAAAAAAAAAAAGGCACCAACTTTGCACATCCTACATATATATACACATATTCTTTTGCAAATGTCACCTGAACTTTAATAACAGGCTGCACCTCGGCCATTGAACCAAATAAAACCAAAATGGGTCCAAGGCAATTAGCCCAAACTACAACACCTATAACACAACAGCCTATCTACATGACCATGCAGCTAGACAAGTAAAAGATTAAACTGTGAAGGGGAAAAAAACAAAAAAACAAAAGCACCAACTTTGCACATCCTACATATATATATATATATATATATACATATTCTTTTGCAAATGTCACCTGAACTTTAATAACAGGCTGCACCAATTGACCCCCCCCCAACCAAAAAAAAAAAAAGGCATTCTTATGAATTTAAAATAAGTTAAATCTCCACTCAACGTTAACAACTAAAAGAAACTTCTTTTCTTCTCTAAATCAATCTAATTAAACTTATGAATGCAACTTAATTATTCAACAACCCTAGTTCAAGCCTTTAATTACTTTAACAAGATATAATAACAACTTCTTTGCACTAATTATCAATTGTTCATAAACCAAATACTAAAAAACCAAGTCTTTTAATTTTTCAAAACTTTTAGCAGCAAACTTAAAGGAAAAAAAAACGTCTCTAACCTTATCTGCTTGTATTATTAGTAAAAAAAGTAGGAAATGAACAGTACCAGAGTAAGTAAGTCTAGAGACGCTACCTCCCTCCATTCGGTGACGAAATCCTGGCCGTCAACTCTTCCCCAATCGTACGCTCATCTACTTTTTCCAACAAAACCCCTAAAAAAATCAATTAACTTTCTCTTCCACCTTCGAAAACCTAATTAAACTCAAGTAAAGTAACAGAACGACAAAATTAATATTTGCCGGAGACTGTATGACTCACCGGAATCTCGAATTTACCGGTGGATCGAATTAGGGTTCCGGTTAACTGAAGGACGATAGGTCTCACTGAGCAAGAGAGAGAGAGAGTAAGTGATTTTTTTGTGTTCTCACAAGAAACGAAAACATATGCTTTTTTACTCGTTTGATGTAAGAGAGAGAGAGACAGACACGCACATAAGAAATGAGGGGATGGCGATGGAATTTGAAAATGTGGGGTAAAGAACACGTGGATTGCTTGCATACGTCTGATGAAAGAACGTAGGATATTAAAGTGCGCAATAGAATTGCGATAGGGGATTTTGTCACGGTTGGATTTGTAGGAGGTGTTTTGGTTTAATGGTAGCGATGAGGGCTGTGAGAAAGAAAGTGTAACAGGTGGAATGATGAGAATTAGTTGAGTGTGGGTTTCGGAAAATCAGAAAGTAATAGAGCAGCACTAATGATCTGGGTGAGGAACACGTGGAAGGAGAGAGAGACAGTTAGGTAGGGTCAGAGGAGTCTATGGCTCTCAATTAGGAGTTGGGAGATTTAGAGATTATCTTTTTGGGCCGTTAGATCAGAATACTTTTTTTCGGGTTGTCCGTTCTTTTAGTTATATGGAATAAGCCAACCCAAGAAGACAACCGACCCGTGAGTTTTTTTCACTAATATGTGCATACGAAAGTAAAAATGTGCTCTTGGCCATTTTAGAGTTAGCGTTACCCAGAGATTCGACACATTTGGCTGGGGCTGGAATGGCAAGTAAAATTAGATTTGTTTTCATTGCTTAAGACCTAAGTTTAGCATTAAGTCCAATTATCTATGATTTGTTTACCATTTGAGGACCAAGTCAATCAATGTTCTTTTTATTGAAAATCTGAACAATTCTAACTAGTTAGGAAAGCACCATCTACTCAATGAATCATTTTCCTTCAAATTTTGAATATTGAATTCAATTCAAATAAAATAGTAGGGAAGACACTTTCAGTTCAATTTGGATGAATACATAAATGTTTGGAATACTACATAACAATACTGAAAATAGGAAATTGAACAATCTTAAATATTAAATTGTTCTTAAGAATGATTTAAAAAAAAAAAACCAAAATCTTTATCATTGAATGTCTTTACGTTCTTCAAAAAGTAGACGTAAAAAATCAATCAATTTTTGTCAAAAATATAAAATTAAAATTTGTTTTCAACTATGTAATTCAAAAAACTAGATTTATGTCTTGTACCTATCACTAATGTCCTATACACCATTTCAAATTTATAAAAACTGGCTATATTGATAAGTAGATTTGTTAATAGCAATATCGCCTAAGATTTAAATTTTAAGTTAGGTCGTAAGAAAATAATTTTTTTAAAGTATGCTAGTTGAAGTATTGGAAACTTACTTGAGACTAAACTGAGGAGGCATTTAATCTTGTTATTAAAAAAAAAATTATAGAGTGGAGTTCTTAAAACAACAAAAGAAAAACTCAATTGGTCTATACTGTTAAAAAAAATTTATTAAAAAAATCAAACTTTGAAATTAAATCAAACAATTATACTAAAAAAAAATAGAGACACTTTGATTCAAATTGAATATATCTAAATGCTTATAAATTATAATTTATCAATTTCACTAATTTGTTTTCTTAATAAGAAATCTATGCAGCTTTGTTCTCAATGGTAATAATTTTTTTTTTTATCAAAACACATTATAGTATCTTATTGACCACGAATCAAGGAAGATTATTTCAAAAAATAAAAAGAAAAGGAACTCACCAATCGGGACCATCCTCAACCCATACTCTTTCCTAATTCAAGCTTTTACTCCCAATGACAGTGAACACAACAAAATAACATGGTTTTGATATAAAATCGAACTTTTTTATTTAAGCATTTTATTTTTTTTTGATGTTTGATATTTGAATGTGAAAACTTTCAAAAAAAAAAAAATTACTGAAGTATTTCTTTTAAAATTCACAAAATATATGCACATTGAACTACTAAATTGACGCATGGCATGCTAACGTATAGACCAAGTATGTATTAACATTTTCCTTTGATATATTTTTTTATCAAAATTACTTGAGTTTATAATAGTTTAAACTATTATTATTGTTATTATTATTATTTTCTTTTCTTTTTTTGGTAAAGAAGGGGTAAAGCTTATAGATTAATAAGGAGTCATTCGAAGAATAGCAATCCCTACAATATCATTGCGTAATAGGACGTCAATAGTCCATATTAATTTATGTGTGGTGTATATTAACCAATTTGATTGGTTTGATCTTATGATTGGTAAAATTTTAGTAATTTAAAATAGTTTTGTAATTTACAATCAAAACTAAAAATTAAAGTGTATACTATGAAAAGAACTATATCATCGTATAGATATAAGAAATGAAAAAATTTAGAATAAAAATGCAGAAATTGAAAAGAAATTACACTACAAAAAAATCAAAAAATAGCAACGAACATTTTCATCGTTAAATCATCAATATTTGTTATTATTTACTCTAAGTAACGGATTTACGAGAATATACTTTCGGTAGCTAAAACGATCGTTATTATTCTTTTAGCAATGGAA